TAAATAATATAGAAATTAAAGTAATATTATTAAACGTAATTTCTTATTCGGTTTAAATGTAATAAAATCACCATGCATGTTAAGATACTACATTTCAAAAGTAAGCGAGTCTGAAAACCCTAAAAGATTCTTTGATATACATCCGCTTTGATTCATCCTCTCATATAATATACTCATAGTTAAGAATCTTCTGGAATGAGGGGAGGCGCGTAAGCCTTTAAACTTCCGGCTGCACGTGCGAGGAACATCGATCTTCCAGGCCTTTTCATTGCGTTCCAGGTAGTAGTATCCAAATCAAATCCTGGTGGTCCGAGCCAGTCTTCCTCGTCTTCAATTTTATAGGCTTCGTTATAGGTTTTCTTGTAAGACCCTTTCATTTTTCCAGACGCTGACACTGGATTTTTCAAATGCAATCCTAGATAGAAAAAAGTAAATACTGCGAAATAATTATTATCAAAACGGTCATTTTCAAAGCGAATCAACAACTCTGAATGATCGAACGTTTAATGAACATAAAATAATTATATACAATTTTCTTTTGGAAAAAACTATTCATCGTACGATGAATTTGCAACCACATGATAATTTTGATGTGGAAATACATGTAATGACAGCAAAGTCATAAAAATGTCTTCTAAAGAATATTAACAAATATTTTAAATTTACATTCCTTCCTTAATTTATTGAAAATATTAAGCATACACATCGATGAATTGTTGCTGTTATGTTTTCAATGAATATTGAACAAACAGACTTTGAACAGCTAGAAGTAATGATTTAAGATATTTATGATACAAACACATGCTTAAACAAAGTTACACTCTAATGATGCTACGATCGACATGCACGCGTGCTATTAGAGGTATGTATAAAAAGAGAGAGGGAGAGAGAGAGAGAGAGGGAGAGAGGGAGGCAGGGCGAGAGACCAAAAGTCGTGAAATTACTTCAAATTCGCTGAAATTTAATCGCACGTGATCGTGAAGCGCGAAACAATTCGAGGTTTGTTTCTCCATGCGATGGATTGATTTTGTCCAGGCTCTACTTTATCAGAAGTTCCGGTAGCTGAGGCAGCTAAATTAAAGCTCTGCAATCTACAGTAGAGCATCGTATGGTCAATAATAAATGTCAGTACGATATGTACTTTCTACCAAATTATTGACTCGAGTATGCAAACCCCTACACAACCTTACCTAGGAAACTATAGGTAAACTCCAAGATATCTGCAACTATTTCCATTATATAACATTTTATCTTTTAATAGTTTCTTTTCTCATTTTCGTTTATCCATGCGTGATTTATTGAATAAAGTTATACATCTTCAGAAGTCCTTGCATACAAGATAGTTTACAGGCATTACAAATGTGGTGAAATTGAAATAATGACATTAAGTGTCGTAATCATTAATATTACAAAAATGCAACATTTTCATTTCGACATTTTCATAGCGTGTGATGAGATGAAGTTTGCAGCTATATTTTTCATTTATTTTATATTGTATCCACTTTCCCAAATAAATAATTCGATAACATTGTCTACCGTTAAATTTCCACTTGAATAGAGAGTTCACGTGACTTTTAAATCGGTAAGATCGTACATGTCGGGTCCAACAAGAAAAGGCTTCGACATTTTTTTTCTATATTTTCTATCCTATCTGTATTTAAATACAGCGAAGCATTTAAAAAGCTGTTTTATAATCGATGCTATCAATAGTCATAGAGTTTTCAATATTTTCCTTCATTTCCTGTTCAAACGTGGCCGTAAAAGCTTTACTCTTACTAACTCAAATATGTGCATATATATCTTTCTCATTACAACAAGTTTTGCGACAGTGAATCCCTTATCAGACTTTATATTCTCAAAAATCTTCTTCCTAACTTACTAAATTGAGATATTTAAAACCATTATTACTGCGCATAACTCTTTTAGCAGCGCATTAATTTCGTGTATTAGTAATGCGGACTAGACTAATGTTTTCGACGAAATCTTGTCTTGCGTAGCTTACCTTGATATTTCTATGTAACTATGATAACACAGTCCCACAATAAAAAATTTCCTGTGCATGGAAGCAGACCACCATGTCCGTATGTTTTTGAGGTCCCTGTGAATCCGAATCCGGTGTCCGTTTATCTCGATCAGGTCAAATTCAAGGCCATTTTAAAGTCAAATATATTTACTCTGCAGTCAAAAAATGAATTCTAAATGAACGGAAAATTTTGTCCAGATATGTATTTTAGTTTTTTTTTTATCATAACCCCCACAGTTATTTGAAAGGCGCTTTATGTTGTTACATAGATAATTTATATGTCAATTGCAAGAAGACGAAAATATTACTTCATAGAGCTAGACTACTATGTTTATGTTTTTGAGGTGGTTGAATCCGAATCTGATGTCCATTTTAATGAGTTTTTTTAATAAACTGTAGTTTCACTGATCGGGAACTTCATTCATGGGATGGTCTCGATTTGACTTTGACTTGACCTTCACTCTGACCTACAGAAGAAAAACGGACTTCGGATTCGGATTCAGCGACCTTAAAAAAATATAAATATAGTAGTCTTGTTTTATGAAGCAATATTTTCGTCTTTTTGCAATTGACATATAAATAAGCTATACAACTACATAAAGCGCCCTTCAAATAACCTTGGAGGTCATAATAAAAAAAACTAAAATACATATCTGGACGTAAAAATTTCCTTTCTTTCAGAACCTGCAGTTAAAAATTCATTTTTAGCAGAATAAACATATTTGACCATGAAATGACCTCGACTTTGACCTTGTTAGATCAAACGGATATCAAATTCGTATTTAGCAACCTCAAAAATATATAGTAATAGTATTTTGAATCGACTTGATTATTTTTCCAGGATTTTATCTGGAAATGACCTTGAATCTGACCTGATCGAGATAAACGGACATTGGATTCGGATCCAGCGACCCCAAAAACATAAGGAAATGGTGGTCTAGTTCTGTGCACCGGAATATTTTTTTTTATGGGGCTGTGTAATTGATGCATTTGAACGAAATAAGTTATAGTAAACGAAATAAGTTAATAAACAGAAAGATGATCACACACGTGTACTGTAAATCGGTAAATATTATATAGCGAGTCAAGTTTATTCGAGGAATTGACCGTTCAAAGGCAGCTTCTACTCTATATAGTTTCTTACTTGTGATTAGTTTTAAATAATTTTCCAAAATCAATGCAATATTTTACGTATATGCGATCTCTAATGTATGTATGTTCTTCCTCTGTATTTGTTTAATCAGTTAAAAATTTTTAAACGCGCAAAATCCAAGTGAAATCCATAAAATACCGCGTCTACATTATAATATTGAATGAGGGTCGTTTTTACCGCCCAACCGTGAAGGGCAAAAGTTAGATAGGATGTTTGATAGCACGGAGATAAAATGTGTGCGCGCCTCGATAAAGCCACGGAGAGCGCCGACAGCAAGTGCAATTATTAATTCAGCGTGAATATTACCGCTCCACTCTTCTCGCTCTGCTCTCATTTTCATTAATTAATATTTTACCCTCTATTTCATCGCTCATTCTGCCCGTTCCCTACGTTCACAGTTAGCTCGCAGCCTCTGATTGTATGCTCCCTTCAAACAGAGCTTATCAGTGCACTCCTCTCCCCCAAATGCCGGAGTACCTGATTATTTGCACGCGAATACCGAGAACCGATGGGAACGTAAATTTATTCATTGCCAATGTCTCGGTCTCGCGAAACGCATACCGGAGCGGCGGTAACGCGCAAGACGGGAGACGCGCGTAGGCGGCGATTCTGAAAATTCCTCTCGCGCGCAAATATTTACCGGCGATAAATCGCGGGCAGGCATTGACGAGAGCGGGCGCCTCGCGGAACGACCGCAAGACTTTGTTCGCGACGGGGCGGAAGACGAGCGCGCAAAGGACAAGACACTCCCGCGACCAATGAACGAGCGTCGCCTGTATAATATGCATGGAGTGCGTCGCGCTACTTTACGCGCACGGCAGGTCCTCGTATCGCGCTTTTGCGTGTTGAATATTGCATCGGGCTTGATAAGCCAGGGAAATGATATGGCTAGGAAAAGGGTTATAGGCTGTTGGATTGGAGCTCGCCGAAGTTGCCGGAAGATGCAAAGATTGCCGAGGCTTGCTTATACCTGAGAGCTCAAGTTTTCGAACGTGTGTACGTATACTCCCTCCAAAAAAATATTGCGCGGAAAATTGGGTTCAAATTAAATAAAAACAATCGTTACTCAATCCAATAACAGATCAGCATTCATTTCTAATTTTCATGCAGATGCAGCCGCAAATAACTTGGGCATGGAAGCGCGAAGGGTGTACGAAGCAGAAAAAAAAATGAAAATGAAAATTAAAGAAAAAAAAACGCATAAGAAAGTATCATTAACCGTCAGCTGCAGTTTCTGTGTAAGTAACCCAGACCCAGGCACAGATAAACAGCAGAGAAAGCGTATGAACGCGCGAGGGAGAGAGAGCAGGACTTTCATTTGAGGGGAGAATGCGAGGGAACGCACAGCGGCATATAGCGGAGAGAAATTGCAGGAATTTAATAAAATAATAAATGGACCCGTGTGTGCGTGTATCGCCGCGCACTCGAGCTATGCATCGCCCGGAACTCTCCCTGTGCTGCTTTCGAGGTGCAGCTTTAGCACTTTTGCCGCGGCGAGTTCCGCTGTCTTATTCTTTTTTCATCTTGCGGATGCTTTGGCGTGCTTTGCAGCAAGCGCGTGCTGTAATCTAATAAAACTTCTCGAGTGATTTAGGAACCAAGAGCTGCTTTCGTGTCACTCTTACTGTATATATACAATTCATCAAATAAGAAAAAAGTTGATGCAGTTGGCATCTTATGATGAACTTATTTCTGTTGAATCTATGAGACTCGACAAATTCAGTTTCAGAGTCGTAAGATTTGGGCGCGATCAGCTGTTTTCACGAGAGGTCTCATCAAAGCGACGGTATACAGTTAGCAGGTTGGCCGCGTCAGCTTGGTCAAGTCCAAGAATCGAATTAAATTTATGATATCGTATAATATTCGCAATCCAGTATTGTAACGACTCGCGCAGATGATAGTAGAGGCACTTGATTATTGTATTATATTGCTCAGTGAATGTATCGTAGGTAGCGCTGTCGGACAAACGACGGATTTTGCAAAAATGAGTATATTTAGTGAATGCTCGACAGAATCAAAAGCAACCTACAAATGGACGATTCCGAACTTTCGCTCGGCCTGTCAACAAACGGGAGAAAAATTGAGCTCCGCGATCATTTCGATTGCAAATACAAATTGGCTGCTCGATTTGTACCCCAGAGGAATCAGCGAAGAGTACAGTCAGTATATGTCGCTTTATTTGAGACTAAAAAGTGGCCGACAGGCCAGAATTAAGTTTCAGCTGTCGATTCTTGATCGCAATAAGAGGCATTACGCAGCGTTCGAAGGCACGTATAAGTATCAGAAGACAACCAGCCTCGTTTGCGGCAAAAGTGATTTCATCAAGCAAAAGGAATTGAAACGCTATAAAAGTTTACTTCTGCCCAATGACACACTGACGATTTGTTGTGAAATATCGCCCGAATTCACTGCCAAAGAGAAAGGATCAAGGGGCAGTAGGAAACGCAAAAGATCGCGTTGCGAATCGGAGCCCGAGTCCGACAATGCGGATGGCAACATGTACGAAATGTACTTTGATAACAAGCAGTATAGCGACGTTATATTCCTCAGCTCAGACAGCAAATGTATAAATGCTCACAAAGTAGTTTTGATCAGTAAGAGCGACGTGTTCGCAAATCTGTTCTCGATGGATATACCGGTTCTATCGCCGGACATTGTCAATGTCAAAGACATCGATTACGAGGTTTTATACGAAGCGATTCGATTCGTTTATACGGGCAAATTGAATATCATTGAAAAATACGCCATGAAACTTTTGAATCTAGCAGATAGATTCAAGCTCGTCGGTTTGAAAATACGGTGCGAACAATTCTTAAGCAACAATCTGTCTGTTGCGAATGCAGTCGAGCTGTATTTAACGGCGGAAGATTACGATCTTACTGATTTGAAGAAAGAAGTTAAGCACTTTATCGCTTTGAATATAAGAGATTTTATTGATTTGCCTGACTTTCAGAAACTGAGCAAATTGTATCCGAAAGTTGTTGTCGAAATTGTTCAACTGTCGATTGAATGACTGCGATAGCTCAGTGACATTTTTAACTTGTCTCTTGAAATGTTTGTACAATTGCATTGCTAACTTTTCATATGTCCAGTACTATGCGAGTTGTTTATTTTGAATTGCAGAGTATTTTAATTATTTAAAACTATAACATTGCTCAATATTAAGTATTTCGGTTATTCGTATCGGAATGCTAATGTGATCGTGAAATGAATAAAAAATGTTTAAGTATATCATAGTCTTAGTATGGTGTATCCCCGATCTCTGATTGATACTTTGTAAATATAAAATAGAACAAGTGAGAGGAAAATTGTGACCACGTGAGTAGGGATGACACGTGATTAGAGGACGAAACTGATAGGGCAGGTAAGTATAGCAGTTTAAATTGAGTGATCAAACTGCCAAGATCGTACGTAAATACGTTCGTTACTTGGTCGCGTTCCACAACCGAATTTTCCGATTCACAAATGTCAGCTGTCAAAAGTAAATTAACGACAGTTAATCACAGCAAAAATATGAGTTCAGAAGTGCGAGGAAAAGCGCTGTGTATGCAATCGTGCTACAGGTGGGACTTGTCGGCTTCGATTCTTGAAAGCAAAAGGGTCGGTGAGAAGATTATTTCTCCAGTGATTCCAATTCATTACTACGACTTCCAGATTGAGCTGTACCCCAAAGGCGTCAGCAAAAAATTCAAAAAGTACATGTCAATTTTTTTGAAACTATTGAGTGGATACATAAAAGTAAAATTCAATCTGTCGATCTTGAATACCCACAACAAGAAACGCGCGCTACTCGAGTGCAGCGAAGTATTTGACGTTCACACTGGATTCGTTCACGGTGCCGCGGACTTTATCCAACAAAATGAATTGTTGAACGACGATTTATTCACAGACAATGGTGTGTTGAGAATTTGGTGTGAAGTCAGCTTTGGTATTGCTTTTTACGAGATGCCAGTGTTCGACAATGGTTCGTCAAGAAAGAGGCCACGTCTTCAATCAAGCGAGTCTTCGTTGAACTCGTCTTCAAGTATCGCGAACTGCAATCCTTTCGAAAAATATTTCGACAACGATCAACGTAGCGACGTTCAATTTATTTTTTCGGATGGCAGATGTATTCACGCTCATATGATGATTTTGGAGCACAAGACTGAGGCTTTCTCGAACTTGTTTCAAGAGGATGTATCAGTTTCATCGCCGGGTATCGTCAACATGAAGGACATCGAATATGAAGTCATGTACGAGGTGCTTCGATTCATCTACACCGACAAAGTAGAAAATCTCGACGGTTTTGCCTTGAAGTTATTAGAACCAGCAATGAGATTTATGCTCGACGATTTAAAAGCACTTTGCGAGAAGCATCTAACCGAGAAATTGTCGGTCGAGGACGTAATCGATTTGTTGATTTTGGCGGAAGATTGCCATCTTTGCATACTGAAAAAGGAAGCAAAACAGTTTATTGCTGCTAATATAAGGGAAATTGTTCACCTACCACAATTTGAGACTGTAATCACTGAACGTCCGGACGTCGCTCTTCAAATTATCCGCTGCAATATTAGTAAGCAGTCCGTCCATGATCCCATAAACGGTCAATGGAAACATTTGAATTAGGCTTTATAAATAAATTGTAATTACACATTATTTTTGACTGGTGTATGTGTTGTTGACACGTGTTGCACTTATTAATTCTACTTCGGCTTATTGTTTGTAATGTTTGTATTTGAGCCATATCATATTGTTGTCGAATATTTTGTCATTTATAAATATATTAAAGTATATATACACAAAAATAAGATGTTCAATTTACAATATTGTTTACTCTGGATCATAATTTTAGTAAATCCCAAGTATTAAAGAAAAGTTAAAATGCATGTGTGTAGGTTTTAAATGTAGCTGATCAATTTAGGGAAAATGGGATTAGTATATAAGAATTATAAGAACAAGCTTAAATCTCTCTAAGAAATTTTATATAAATCAAGTCAAAGTTAACCAAATTGTAGGGTCATAAATCAAAACTATACGTTTAAAATGATGGAAAATTGACTAGCACATGCAATGCGTTATTTCGTCTCACAAATCTTATTATACTTATAATAAAATTGGCGTAAAATTATGATTTTCCATTTATCAGTCGCGCGCATGCACCCGAGACGCCGTCTTGTACTTGTTGTCGATACTGATTTCTCGCATACAGATTACTCACAGCTTTGACGCCATACAGTGCTTTTCGATCATCGTATACTGTGAATTCTCCGCTTATGATAGCCTCGTCATCTGGTCGTCATTGCCGATAGTGTTTATGCTAGACGGCAGCAAGAAACATCAGGTAACTATTATCCATTGGGCTTTATAAATATGTATCTATACGAGTTTCGGTAACAGCACGTGAACACAAGGCTTCTCCTTGTCAATATCAAGAACCACCGCCATAATCTCTGTACTGTTCACTCAAGTTTATCATGGGTTTCCTTCAACAGTTTTTATAGATAAAAGTAATTTGTACTCGAAAAAATATTCATAGATGAAATATAGATGAAATGTCTATTTTTACGATATATGATAAATCATTGCGTGTATGGATTATATGGAATCGCATGTTCGTCCAATTGTCATGTTTGTTTACAAGCAATCACAGTAATATTGCATTTGTTGTTATTTTACAGATAGAAAACGAGCCCAGCTATTAATTTTTTCAATAAGAAATCTTGGAGAAAACAATCGCATAGGATATACCCTGACAGTAATAGCCATAATATGGATATTTTGATAATATAAGTCGATTCGTATCTCGTTTTCATACATCGATCGTATTTTTATAGATACCAACTGTCGTTCAGTGAAATAGACCATATCGGAGAGGAAAAAAGACAACATTTTTTTACTTGAACTGCCGTAAAAATTTATGGTGGAAGAGGTGAGATATTGAAAAAATGTGCATAAATTTCTATGTAGTTTGATGGCACACTTATACATGTAGATCCCTATTAAGTGCTATTTGCACTATTATGGCTACATTACGAATGCTTCTAGAAATGCCAGTCGACAAACTGCCAAATCAGTTGAAGAATGAGAAGATCTCAGCCGGCAACAGACGGTCAAAAAAACCAATAAAACGAGATTTTTGCAATAGTCCCAAATTCCACATTTATTCTTTAAGGTCTTTACCTCTTACGGCGCATCATTTGATCGATAACGTCAAAACCATATTATCTGGACATACGAGTGTACCATTCAACTTGGAAGTGAGCCAGAGTGATCTGCAATACATGTTGCAAGCTTACAATAAACCATTGATGGACGGTGGCCTGCCTAGGCGAAGTTGTACCAAGACGAATTGCATGAAGAATTTTCTTGCGCTTTTGCAAGGTGCAGAACTGGCCAAACTACGAACGTACGTGCTATCGTCGATCTTCACATTGTGCTATTTTCTAAGAAAGTAAGTGTTTTTATTTAGATATTATTTAAGATTTGTAGTCTATTTCTTTTTCGTGTTTATAGATACCATGAGAGTGATGAACAACTGAATGATGCTTACATGAGAATTAAAAATAAAATAGCACCCTCGAGAAAACAAATATCTAGAATCGCTAAACTCATTGTGAAACCTGGGGATAAAGTGAATTTCGAACGAATCAGGGGTGTTTGTCGAAATAACTGCATAGAACTGAGCCAACTTCTTAATACTAATCAGACAATTTTCGACGAAGTGACCGAAGAGGACGAAGCTTGTATGAAATACTATTTCAGATGTTACGAGTTAGTAGTTTTTGCTCATATTACACGTCTTTTATCCTATGAATGTTTTATAAATATGATTATGGTTTTTCTATTCAGGGTCGAGTCTGCAATTGAACCGGAAGATGAATTTGTTGTATTCAAAAACAAAGACGGTGCCCCACTGTACGTCCGTGGTCGTGAGCTGTTAACTTTAACAGAATTTGAAGCTGGCGAAGCAACCAGACTTCAATCAGAACAACACCATGAAGATGATGGCAAAAATCACGATAGCGAAAAAGAAGTTACGGACGTGGGGGATACCGAGTATACATTTGAAGTAAACAACAACGTATATAACGAGGATTATTTTATAAACAGTAATAAGGATTATAACGATGGTTATTTTGAAGAGAACTGTATGGAAGACAACAAAGATAATTTTGAAGATTTCTACATCGAGAACGATAAAGATAATTTTGACGAGAGACATATCGAGAATAAGGGTAATTTTAAAGAGAACGACTTCGGAAACGACAAGGAAGCGTATATTGAAGACAACAAAGTAGAAGTATATGTGAATGAACCGGAAGTGGAGATTGAAATCGACGAAAATATGATTCTAACGTCAGACCGAATTCCATTTCAAACAAGATCTTCAAGCGCATTGGAGATCTCAAGTATTACAAGCTACAAGTCGTTTGATAAACATTTCAACAACGAACGCCGTAGTGATGTCAAATTCGTTTTCGGCGACGGCAAATGTATCCATGCTCACTCAATTATTTTGGAAAGCAAGAGTGACGCCTTCACGGATTTATTTTCAAATGACGTGTCAGTTACATCGCCTGGCATCATCAATGTCAAAAACGTTGACTACGAAGTGATGTACGAGGTGATTCGATTTATCTACACGGACAAAGTACAAAATCTTGATATTTTTGCATCCCAGCTCTTAGAACCAGCAAAGACATTTATACTCGAGGATTTGAAAGTAATTTGCGAAGATCAGCTTTGCAAGGATATGTCGATCGACAACGTTATTGATTTGTTGATGTTGGCGGAAGATTACGATCTTAGTGTTCTGAAGAAACAAGCAAAGCAGTTAGTGGCTGCAAACATGAAGGATATTGTTATTTTAGCCAAATTTGAGAACCTGATAATTCATCATCCGAAAATCGCTCTTGATGTTGTCCGCTACAGCGCCGTTAAATAATAGGTTTGAAAACCGATGAACCCGTTCAGTTATCAATAGTTACCAAGCATAAAACTGTTGGTTATTTTATAATATAGTTTATAATTTAATTTGGTGGATTTAGATATAATTTATTATAGAAAAATTTTCTTACATTTGTTATCTTCATTGATGAATATTTTTGTTAAATTCTTACCATTTAAAATTTATGTGACTAGGTTAATCTTTATATTTCATTTACATGAGCATAGACAGAATTCTTATTTCAACATTTTTATATTTGAAGACGAAAATTTTTATTGTGAATATTATTTGCCATTAATATGTCACAATTTAATCTGTTCCATTTTGGAAAAAAGTTATTGTATCGATAAAAATGTATGTACTTAAAAACAAATGAATACAGTAATATTTCTACAGTAAGTACAGAATTTTTTAAGTACCAGAAATTCAGATATTATCAAAAATAATTTGAATTTACCTATTAAAAAATTGTGTCAAGTGACAAGAATTAATTGTAATAATAAATACGAAGTTTCAATTTAAAAAAAAACCAATCAATAAGTTAATCGAACTGTGGATCAGTAAAAAAGTATGAATTGAGGATCAGAGATTATAGATTAAAGTAATACGTTTATATCTAAAAAAATATTTCGATCAGAGCAGATCCGTCTTAAAACAGAAAAACCTCTGGCAACTATTTTTGAATATAGTTTTAGTGTACTGTAGTACGGACCATTGATTTTAGTATCATTTTAATGTTTATTCTTAGACCATTGTTAATGATGTCTTTTCGTATGATTATATGCTTGTTATTTATTTCTAATTGAAATTTTCTTAGTGCTTAAATAAGTGTATGTAATGACAAAAATGATTTATTTCCCATATTTTTCATATAGCGAGGAAAGCATGAATATATGTCCATTACTTGTGGTGATGAGGTGGCGAGAGCGTCGAAGCCACCGATGAGTTTTTGATTGTCAACAATACAAACATAGATAAATACAAATTTACCAAAAAGGATCAACTCTCGAACAAGTTTATAAGCAAAATGAATTGACTAATAAAAGTAATGGCTTCTTCAGCTACGGAACTCTAAACTGCATTTAGACAACCAGACAGACCACATAAGAGACTTCGTTTATTCGCCGAATGGCACAACCAGGAGATCGTTAATTTTGCAAAATTCTACGAAAGAGAGTAACTCAGCAACGTAAAATTTATTAAAAGTTACGGTCGAACTATCCACATTCACAAGACTATCCTTGTCAACAAGAAGTATTCATGGCAATGTTCGACAAATGCTCCGTGGAGCAGATTGAAGCGATCACGGTACACGGCATCCACGATGAGGTATTCGAGAAGTTCCAATACTTTACACCAACGGCATTCCCAACTTACCCAAACATGTCTGCAAGCTACTGATTTGAAACTCGTCTGCGAGGCGGATCTGCAAATAAAGCTTGTCGGTTTCAAATGTTGTCAATGGTCTCGTCACTGCTTGCTCCTATAATTTAACTCGATTTGAGAAACAAATTATTAATTTTATAGTCTCATACATAAAAGATTTTGTGAATGAGCCAACGTTCGAGTCAGTCACCTTCATCAACATCAAGTTCTTATGGCAATTTTGCGTTGTACTGCTGAGCAAAATAATCCATAGGGATTTTATTTCTATAGAGCACATGTACTATTCTTTGATACGATTATGATTTTCAAAACTATGTCTTTCAAGTAAATAATTTTCATTCCAATGGTTGCTCTATTCTATACAAGTGATAAGTAAAATTATTGTTGTAGATAGATGTTTGTATTTATTTATTTATCGAGCAACAGTATAAATTTAACCGAATAAAATATGATGATCGCGATAGATACTATACTGCTTATACTTTTATACGAAATTTATTTTTCATATTTAAGTTATTGTACATTTTTCATCAAATTGCATCCTTATTTATTTTGAAAGGCTACTATTTGGAGAAACAACTTAAAAATAAATGCAAATTATGATACATATTTCTGAATTATCGCAAGTTTGTAGAACATTGTAAATTTGAAGTGCTCTTCTTAGTTGAAGGACTATTTTAGTGTTGCAAATAGTTCCAATTCGCTAGAAAATTCAAAATAGATATTGAACTCTTTGTGTGTGTTAGTTTTACAATGCTCATATGAAAGTCTTTGTCTTTAAAACGTTTATTAAGTACACAAAATCAATGAAAATAACAGTTTGTAATTTCTACTTGTAAAGTTGTGCTCGCTGATATATAACGAAATTACAACAAACTAACTGAATATCTGGCGAATAACACGAATTTAACAAATCACTATCAATCAGCAGTGCACGCAACGCAAAATTTTCAAACGTGTAACAGAGAATACGAAGTCGCGACAGCTTGCGACAACACAGTCGCAAGAATTGTAGTAGCAAAGCCAATCCCGTCCCCAAACTCATTCGCGTCCGTACATCTGCACGAGGATTTAATTCATCATCTCGCACATGCACTTCCTTGACTCGCAGGCGCTCTCCGCATTCCCGGGGGTATACACGCGCGTTGCGCGCTCTTGCCGCGCTAAAATCTCGCCTCGAGGGAGAGAGACAGAGCAAAGGGATGCTGTCGCGATAAGCCTTGTTTCCGCGTCTCTCTCTCTCTCTCTCTCCCCCCCTCTCGTTCGCGAGCTCTGTTTTGCTTCGATCTTCTTGCCTTTACCAACTCTGCTGCTTTGTAATAGTCGTGCTGCACGTTTTCCTTCAGGTAATTAATTTTCGTATTACAGCGAACTATGCGAATGCGCATCGTGTTTCACTGATGTTTTTACGCGTTTAGTTTCGTATACGTATGTGGCGGCTTTCACTTATAATTTGCTTAATAATGCTTGACCGCAATTCTCGAACAGTTTCGATATGAGTTATCATTTGGTGTTCTGTATAATGAACGTCGCTAATCTAGGAGTTTCGATATTACCAACAATACGTATTGATACTCTACGTCTTGAATAGTAAGCTGTAGTATTGTTGACACAGAATTTTTTCGTGTTAATGTTACGTACAGGCGCGAAAGAGTTCAGTCCGCGCGGTAGGCAATTAAACGATAAAAAAAAAAAAATAATAAAAAAAAAAGACACGCTCGGGCAACGTTTAGTGATCCCATATACTTGAGCGCGACACATTCCAGAATACCCACCCGCCAGGAAAAAAGCAATTGACAGAGAGAGAGAAAGAGGCTAGAGCACTCATTCCATCAGAGGCAGCGCGCAGAGTCCTTTTTCGGGGCCGCGGGGCAACCCTTCATGCATACGTTATATTATCACTCTTGCCAGTTTGAGCTGGGCAGAGCCCCTTAACGATAATACCTTCCGGCACGTATCCGCTTGATTTATTCGGGGAGGGTCTACGTACCACTGGTGCGCGCACGGATGGCGTCAGGTGCGCCGACACTTTCACCCTTGCTCGCCGCCGCGCAAAGTGTTTCGCTATATGGATGCTACAAATACAGAAGTTCCGTACGCATCGCTAGGGTGTTTTGCGCTCGCCTACTTTCGTTTTCCTTTCTTTTTTATTTTATATACATATATTTTTTTTTCGTTTCTAAAAAATTTTGCTGCAAGCTTGCGATATTGAAATTCTCGGCATGATCGAAAGCTCCATCTTAGCGTTAAGTTTGCTCGAGTTTGAAATTGTGCGGTAGAGAGCGCACATAGCTCGATCGTCAGATTGCAGTGTGGGCTCGTCATCCAGCGCGAAGAACGCTGCTGTGGTCTCATAAACTGCAGGCTGGCTTATTCCACAAGTTGCAAGAACAGTTAGCTCTCGATGAATATCGAGATGAAACGTTTGACACGATTTTGAATAGCTGAAAGCGCGATTTCACTCCGAACTTTGCTTTATCGAAATGTACACTTCGCGAGTTTCTTTTTTTCCGATAAACGTTCGTTCGTGCGCGTACAAATTGATTCTTTTATACACAGTGATATCTCGCGAAAAAAAAAGTGTGCAAGCGACAGACGACAAAGGCATTTTTTTATTTATTTTTTTTTTTCGACAGCACCCGGCGACAAGCAAAACCCATGGCACGCATTGGAAAACAAGTTTGTCGCTGGTGAAACCAACAATCCCATAAAAGCCAGCGCGCGGGTGTACGTGTATCATCAATAAAATGTCGATGCTCACGCGCGGACGCGAAACGAGAGCGAGAGAGACCCAGAAAGATGAAAGCACGCGCGCGACATCAATGCACGCGATGCGTTGTCGCCCCGTGGGAGGGATTTAGTGACTATATCCGCTTCGAGCCAAGGGTCTAATACCTTTAAACATTGCGGAAAAAATCGAGCGAGGGTGGCCAGTCTTCGTAGGACAGAGACCGACCCTTTTTGGCTAGAGGCGTTACTTGTTGCCGTCTACGTATGTCTGCGATGTGTATGTGCGCGCGCGCATTGGACAGATGAATTATTGACTGCGATTGATGCTGAAATGGATTGCTAATGAAAATTTTGGTTTTTTCTTCTTTTTGAGCTATTTGTCAATTGTTTAATGTTTTTGAGTAAGGATATCAAGTGTTTTATTGATATATAAATAACATTAATTTCTATTTATAATACTTGTATTTGCTATCGGATGACAGCGTTGAATCTGAAATAGTAAAAACCGTACTCTGGGTACAATTAAAAGCTTACGAATTTAAAAATCTTTTCAATTTCTGTTAATATAATAATCAATGACTCTTACTACTTGAATATTCGGATAATTTATTGCAACCAAAAGGCAATCAAGTGAAACATACTTTTTTTATCGGGAAAATACTTCAGGTTTAATTTATTAATTTAGCCTTTGATAATTTCGTTCAACGATATTTGAATTGTAGGAATGCCACTGGAGAGGTTATTAGAATAGATAATTATAGCGTATGATACTATTTATAATACTTAAATTTTCATAGTTCTGATATTTTAATATCATGCACTATACGTTAAATTTAATTTATTCCATGCATTGTTACGCGATAGAAAAGTCAATAACAACCCGTATCACCATAAGCTGATTGAAATTGGATAAATCAAGAACACGCTCACCTGTACGTGAACAATTGAAGCAATAATCGGTCCCACCCTGTCAAGAAAAGTAATCAAATACAAAAGGGAAAGAGAAAATGAATAGTTTCGCAATTTGCTGTTCACACTAGCAATCAATAGGCCCTAGACAGTTGCGAATGAAAAATCTCGATAGCCTCGAAAACAGCGGTAAGAACAGATCTCAACTCGATTCTACGGGGAATGGCCATTAAAACCTATGCAGCAGCAGCCGACCGCTCTCATTGAAAAGAGAGAGAGAGAGAGAAAAAGGAGCAGTTTTTCCAGCATCCTCTCTCATTACGCATCGGCTTTTCTCCTCTCTCTCTCTCTCTCTCGTTCCTTCGGATGAGGCTCTCCTCTCTTTCACTTTTCCCTCCTCGGGATTTGCCCTCTCTGTCCGTCGAGGCTTTGCAACACTCGCGGCGGGCGCTTATGGACGGGAGCAACAGAGACAGAGAGCAAAAGGGAAGGGAGTTGGTTGGTTGCTTGCTCGCGGCGCGCTGCTCCGTTCACAGTTCAGTCGCGACTCGACGCTCGCTTGACGCGCGCACGAGTCGAGCCCAAGCCGACTTGTACGCCCGTACGTTGCCTCTAGTTGTACACGGAGAAAGAAAGAGATGAGTGTGTGCAGTGACAGTGAGTGCGCGTGAGAGATCGAAGGTGAAAGTGACACACGCACACGCGCGCGCGCGCACACACAGAAACACACGCCACGCGAGCGCGCGCGCGCGCGAGCGCGAGTACGCATTTATTTTTGGCATATCGGACAGATCGGATTTTCACCGCAGACGGAACGCAGGAGGATATCGCTTTTGAATTCCCGGAGCAATCGCGAAAAACAGGTACGTCTTGTCGCTGATAAGAATCGCCGGGGATGGGGCTAAGTCCAAGGAGGCCGAGGCTCCGATCGGCAGCGGGATATTGCCCCTCGACCGTTTGTTTTGATTCGCGAATAAAAAGCTTGCCGAGCTCGCGCGCGCGAGTGTCAAGCAGACGCGCGCCGACCAGATTTGTTTTGGAGCGTGGTACCGAGACACAAACTTCATTCGGAAAAGATGTGGGTTGTGCTCTTGTTTCTAATTATACATTAAAGACACTAGCGTGTGCGCACGGACAGCCTCGTCGGTAGCGTCGCTTGGCCTCTTCAAAACTTGGCCGATTATTGCCCTTCTAAACACCTGCCGCTGGCTCACTTTATCACGGATGCTGCTGCTGCTGCTGCTGCTTCAGGAAGTGCTTAAGATACGAGCGGCTTTTTATGCAGGCGGCGTGCTTGTACTTTTTTCAAGATCCTCATTGGCCGTCATTCGATGGACACGTCGAATGAAAATTCTTCCCCTAGTATCACCACATCTCTAGCGGCCGGATTGTTATTCTAGAAAATTTACACTGGCAACCTCATTTCTTCCGCGTGGAATCGAAAGCAAGCATGCTCGGTTGCGCAGCGAGTTTTTCAGATAAGACATTCGATATCATTTTCCATTAAAAAAGCTCCGGCGGGCATTACGTTAGTTCGATCGCGAATGTAGGTAGAACTATGATTATCTGGTGCTCTCGGAAGGCTGAAATAGCGTTCGAAAACAAACAGCGAATCGAGCCCTGACGAGGAAACGCGAACTCAATATTTTCCCGGTACACGCGCAACGTGCTTTTCTTTTTTCGGGAATTAATTTTCTATCGAGCTCGCGATTCGACTGAGTGAAAAAAACTACGGCCACGCATAGTACAGTTCCGTTCTCGAGATAATGAACTTGCGAGCGAGAGAGAGAGAGAGAGAAAGAGAGAGAGAGAGAGAGAGAGAGAGAGAGAGAGAGAGAGAGAGAAAGAGACATCGATGACCTCTCTGGCAGTAATACATGCAGAACAAAAAGTTGGCCGCAATGTCAGTGAAAATCTGTCGAGTGAAGCGTCGACGTATTTTCTACTCGAGTACTTATCTTCGCGCCCAGGAGCGATCAATCCGATCGTCAAAATCAGTGATCTTCGCGTTCATTTTCGTTTTTGATTTCTTTGCCGAGGATAATTTTTCAGGAATTTCCGGCTCACTCGAGAGAGTCAAAGTCTCGCGCGCGATGCAGTCTAAAAATCTCAGCGAATTTTTCGCGCGCGTAATTACGAATCTAATTTTTCGCTCTGATAAATCCGATTAACGAAATGAAGCCGTATAACACACATGTGAGAGCGAGCGGATCGCTGCGATTGGAACCGGAAGACCAAAAAAATTAACTTTGTTTTGCCCTCGTAAATCAAACATATTCCTATTTTCATAAACGTCACCCGTTATCAGCCGATAAATATCGTGTTTGTCTCTATAAGGTCACATAATACAATTTATTACTATCGATTTCCTTAAATCTCAAGCTGCATTTACGGTAAATAAGGTTGAGAGAACTCGTCGTCATAGTCTTGTGCAGATTAACATAATGTACATAAAGTAATCTCCCAATCTCATCTCATTGGCTCGTAAAACAGTCTTTTTTAGAATCTGCCATAGAGTACCAGTCTGCGTTATTATCGCGATAATCAATGTATATAAAAGCTGCTTCCCTACGAAATTGTAATGAAGGCGCCAGAGGAGAGAGATTTTCCGCCTTTATAAGCGTTAATTGTCAGCCGTCTTAATAAGGGAGAGAAAGACGGTCGCTGAAAGATACAGGCTTATAATTGTGATGTTGCTTGGATCTCTTGTTTTGCCACGATTTTTTATTTTGAGAGATGAGTGCCATTGTTATGTGAAATTTCTCGTGTGGAGGCAGTGAAGGCCCGGTTGGCCTTTTTATTCTTTACTGTTTGACGACAGCTTTAAAGTTGATTGTTTTTTTCGATCTACCTGCATTTTTTTCCTTGTACAAGTCAACTACAGCGCCGAAGCGACGAATTTTCTAATATGCTTTCGTAAAAAATGAACGACCAAAAGTTGACCTCCATTCTCGGAACCCGTAGCAAACAAATGTATAAAGCCCGAATATATGAATTTCGGCCGAAAGTCATGAAACGCAATTTGGACATGACATACAAAGTCCCTCTCTTACTCCTTGTCATGTGGATCGGTGTCAAACGCGTCTAGTAGTGATCGGCAAAGTCTCCGTCGCTGCCGCCGCGTGTAGTCTCTTTGCTCGCGCCTATTTATAAACAGAGACTTACTACCGACTGCAACGAGGTACAGTCGTCGTCGGCAAACGCGGGCACATCACACGCAATAGACTGCGCGCGACAAAAGGAGGAAGAAGTTTTAGCCTCCTCTTCAAAGCCAACATAACGAACCAGTTGTGCATGGCATACCAGTTCTCATCGAGAAAAGGAGATTCCAGGTTAATGGAGGTTAAGATCCGCGATTGGAAAAGCCTTTGACTTTAAATGGGCCGAGTGTGCGCGCTGCCGTGAGTCAAATAAAGTCAGTTGCCAGCGCCAGTTATGACAATATTATAAGCGCGAGCGCGCCAACTAGTCGATCCTGTTTGCTCGCGGGGATCATCGCGGCGGCGAAGAGACGCCGGCGCGACCACATACATTTCTTTTCGTTTTCCCTTAGCGCGCGCCGCAAGTTCGTTTATATATATATACGCGTGTACACACATACATATATGTATACCCTGCGTGCGCCAACATGCCTCCGCTTCTTCTTTTGCTCGTTATATGATCGAGACGCTGCCTACGCCGGCCGATTCTCGACTTGCGCGAGCTTTTGCTCTCGCGGTCTCGGTTCGCGCTTGTGGCTCGGATCGCCGATACGCACTGCGACCGAACAGCTGCCAAATGCGAACGGCAATTTTTCTGTTCCGAATTTCATCGGAAATCGTTTGGATGGATTTTAGACGGATCAAGATGCGTCGTTTAACATCACCGTTTGATCCAGCTCGACCCGAATAAAGCCTCCGGCAAAGTACATAAAACTGGTTCAAAGCTGCGTTACGCACTCGCATATTCAGAATGCCAATGTTCCGATAAGACCGTAAAGAAAGAGAAAAGCAAAAAGCCAGAGGCATGTGCGCTAAACAACATAACTACACTCTCTTGCGCAAGAACGGGGCGAGATAAGCGCACGGTATTACGCATAATGTACTTATTCGTGACTTGTCGCATAGCACGGCGCAAGGAAGATTCGCTATTGACCCTGGCACCTTTCTCTTTGTGTGTATGTGCGCGCGTGTGCGTGCACTATCGAATTCGTCGATTTTCCAAAGTGCACGTACACCACGAAAGTTGCGTCACGTATTCAATTTCGCTTAGCTCGGCGCCGCGATCAGTGACAAATGCAGACATTTAAAAGAAAAGAAAAATGCACAAAGAGAACGAAGGCGAATCCGTCGTCGCCGTCATTAATTGCCGGAGGAGAAGTGCATTTAGGAATCGCGGTGAGTTTCCTCGATCGGCAATTGTCTATTCGTCTTTGTGCGCGACTCGCGAGAGCGAAAGAGACGATAAAAAGTCGAGCGCGGCCTTCTCTCTCGCTCTCTCGGCAGCAGCAGCGTAGCGGAGGGATTCGAAACGAAAGGTACGAGTGTAATTGCCAAGCTACGACGGCCTCGCGATTTTCAATTAAGTGCCGGATCTTTTAGCGCCGGGAGATCCTTTCGAAAGCGCGCGCTCTCGACTCGCGCATATTCCCCGCGCGGGCGCGCACAAAGGAGCTGATCTGCAGCCCAAGTTTCGCCAAGTTCAATGCGAATTTTTTATGCTCTAGCGCGTCCGCGGCATTTTGTCGGATTTGGTGGCTGGGAATCGATCCAAGTGTTGCAATTTCGAAAGGAAAAATCGTGAAACTGCACTGCTTGTTAAGCTCCAAATTGCTTCTATAAGTGTACATTATACGACGGTGGACCCGGTTAATTTCTTTTTCATCCCGAAAAGAAAAAATTATCTATTCTGGATGAATCGTAAAGAAGTAGCTTGGCGAAAAAGAAAATCAAGAATTCGTGAAATCGAGTTCAGTTTATTGCTGCGACTTAATTATCGGTACCAGTATCGTTAATTTTGAATTTGGATTTTAAAAGCGTTCGAGGTGAAATTTGCATTTACTACAAACGAAAGTGAAAATTGACGTCCATAAATTTCAAAACAAGCAGGTATTTTCGAAAATTTAGTCAAATGAAGGCTCACAGATCGGAATTGAGATCTTGATACAAATCAACAAAAACAAATTTCCAAATGGAAACGTAAGACGTCCAATGCTCCTGTCACTCTCTTAATCCTTACAAATAAAAAGCAGAAGCGTACGTACCTCGCAAGCACGTTTTATTTTTTCAATTCTGGAATGTATCATGTCCAGGAAACGCGATTCCTTACGGTATAAAACACGTTCGTCCGTGGGGCATTGTTTTGATATTTTTTCTCTGTGTTTTTTTTTTGTTCCGGGAGTAACGAAAAATTGGCGCTTAAATTGTTTGCTTGGAGCGATGCGTAACGTCTCGTCTCTCTCTCTCTCTCTTTGACTAGCGGGATTTACTCTCGACTCGTTTTATTGCCGCATGCGAGACATTGTATGCGGTTATGCTAACACGTGCATTTTTATGTTTTTTTTTAGTATTAATGGACATGCAAATCAGTTTTTCGCTAAAAAAACATGTATATTCATGTTGTACGAATGCGCCAAATTTTCTGAATTGCTTGAAAGGAACGTGTTTGTTTAATAACATTTTGCGTCAGTATACAGTCTTGATGTTTTGGCGTAATATATATACGCGGCGTGCTCGGCGCAAGAGAGTGACTCACGAAGAAATACAGGTGACTGACTTTGTCAGAATCTTTGTTTAGTTTTCACATTCCTATAAAATAACAAGTCGCCACATCAAGACGTAATTTTTTCTCCAAGTTTCATCGGGAACTGAAGTCTTTTAATCCG